AACTTAATTTTGGATTATTCGATAAGTGTAATTCAACGTGTTTTTTTCATCAACGACTTGGAGAAGGGTCCAGCTGCAGACGCCTGTAGAGTGGAGCTCCACCGGAAATACGTCACCTCCACAGGAAATACGTGACTTTAAGGGGCGTAAAGTGGAGCTCCACAGGAAACACGTGACCAAACTGTGTTTTACAGCGGAATTTCAGTTGTAAAATTCTCAAAAAGTATGTTTTTGTTCATTTATACGCTAGAGAAATTATTATATATATATATATATATATACACAATATATATATATATATATATATCTGGTCTGATCTAGTTTGTGGAATATATATATTGGTCATAAGATGAGCAGTTATAAACATGCCATACATACGCAATTGCTACTTTCCATACACATTACTAATATATATATTGGTCTTGCCTTAACTGTTATAAACATATACTATATACGATTACTGGAACAACGCAAATGCGTACGTATTTTATGTGCATTTGCGCTGATATGACAAGAAATTATTGTGCATTTTAACCTGTATATGCTAATTCGTACTTCATTTGCGGTATATAGGTTGAAATGCACGGTATAGACGTAGTTTACTGTTGATTTCATGTTCGTTGAAGTTTCTGCTTTTTAACATATGTATAAAGTAATGTTATCTGTTATATACATAAACTCAGGTGAAACAAAAAGTGCGTTTTCATGGCTGCCAAATCTCAAGCATGTGGCATGACATTCACGCTTTCAGACTCACGCTGGAAATCTTACGGCAAATCTAAATTCCATTATAAAACCTAAAATTAGCTACATCAAAGGTACATGGTTAAATACAAAAGCAGACAGTGTTGCCCCTAGGTTTGCAGCTTTGGGGAGCAGACGGACACCGCCGGGATTCATGGTGTTCATGTGTTTCTTTTAATGACAGCAGTCAATATAACAACTGAACTAAACATCAGAACATTTCTTTTTACGCAGATATTTTTGTCTGCTTTTCAGATGGTTGACGCGACATATTTTCTGATGCGCGCTCTCTGTCCGCTAGTGGGCGTGTGCTCACCTGTGTGTGCGCTCACGTGTCTATGCGTGCGCATAAGGGCGGAATTCCACCACGCGCGATACAGAGAGCAGAGGAGAATTGTAATTGCGCGACCGTGTACAGACAAAAATTACAAGCTGTTGCTTAAATAAGATGAATAACATTAGGCTATTTAGTTTGTTTAATAAAAGGACAATGTATAGACCTGTTCTATAGGAAAGGTAACCTTAAATGACTTCTGTTGTGATCTGGCGCAATATAGAAAATTAAATTAAATTAACTTGACCTTCAAGGGGGCGGGGCGGGGCGCCCCCTCCCCCCAATATAATGGTAGGGGAAACACTGGACTATTTACAACTGTTACATGTGTGTGCAGACATCTCGAATTGAAAATCTCACACCAGCCAGCTGGCCGAAGTTCTATGTCACGTGATAATAAACATTGTCAAAACGTTTTTGAATTGTACTGAATTAATTTGATTTGACAGTCAGGTACTGATTACATGCAATGTTGATACAACTAAATTTTAGTTATATACCCCTGATTTACAAGGTAATAAATCTCTTACATACATATAAATGTATGTGTAGACTTATCTCGAATTGAAAATCTCACTCCAGCTAAAGTTGTCAACTCTGCGCTAAGCGTCTGCAGACACATCCCCACTGCTCGAGACATTTCTGTGCAACCTGTTGCCAGCAGATACCTGTGTGACTCGAAGTGTCTGCTGGTTTCTGCTCAGTCTTCAGTGTCTGGACCAGAGCTTCTGGGCTGATTTCAGTGCCGGCGAAAACAGCAGACGGAAAAGTATCCGGCATCTAAAAAAGCATTTAAAGGCGCATTAAACCCTCCACAACTTGCAAATAAATGGTCACGACGTAATGTTTTCACTTTCTGCTTCTCCATAGTCCCTGTGTCCTGCTAGTCAGTGGTACCTTCATTCTGCCTCCTGGTTTAGGCTTGGGGCTGCCGGCCGCACTCCTATTGCTGTCGTACAGTGGACACTTAATAAGGACATCCCCTTCGGCCGCCGTCGGCGCCTTTTCCAAGCCCGGCGCTGCGGACACTTCATCCCCATGGTTACATTTTACCGCCCTTTGGTGGAGCTTTTGCCGGACACGTTTTATCTTTCCCACCATTCTGGGTTTTATCTAAAACAGCGCTTGACCGCTAACAACACCAACGTGCACTGCTCGGGTGTTACACAAAAGACGTACCGGCTGGCACTGAGTATTCCTCTTATCAGTTCCGATGTATTTACACGAAATATCCAGCAGATGGAGCATGTCTGATTCGCTTTTACGTAAGTGTCGCCCGCAATTCAAAGTACGCGTTTTTATTTAGAAAAAGGGGCAAGTTTTGGTCATGGTGAAGAGGTACACCAGGAGAAATCATTCACATTTATTGTTCACTTAAGTGAGAACTGACTGGGAGATGGACACCTGTGCTGGCAGGTGATAAATGAAGATTCTAAGTGATCATTTGTCCATCCTGCAATCATTTCTGAGGTTTGAATGAAGGTATGTTCGGGTGCAGGTTTGTTGTTTTGGGGGGCCCATTCAAATCACTTTGAGCCCCCCACCACTACACACACACACACATCATCACAGAGGATCTCTCCTAGGTTGACAACACCTCAGTGGTAGTAGGCAAATCACAACAGCGCCTCTACTTTCTGAGAAGGCTAAGTAGAGCTAACCTCCCACAGAAGCTGTTGATTAACTTTTACAGATGCACTATAGAGAGCATCTTGACTAACTGCATGACAGCATGGTATACTTTTTGTTGCTGTACACTGGTGCAATAATATCTGTTCTCGTTAATTCTGCTTTGGTTAGAAATAATCTGTTTGAAGATTCAACACTGCATATGCCATCTTTGCAAATGCTTTGACATATTTTGTATGATTATTTAATTTTTATTTTGTTTATTTTGTATTTATAAATGGACCTTGTGGTTGTCATAAAAGTAATTTGTTGTGTTACACAATGACAATAAAGTGCTTGAATCTTGAATGAACCTTGAATTTTGAAGATCTTTTCACCACCAGGACAAAGAACTGCCATCACAGAGGAGGTTTAAGTGCACCATGACCAAGACCTCATGCCATCTCCACAGCTTCTTCCCTGTAGCCGTCCAACTCCTAAATAAACTTGCCTAGTACCTCAGTAATATGTCACCCAGCTGCAACCCATAGCACATGCATTATCATTTCAACTTGCACTAAAATGGCCCTTGCCATTTCTGATGATTAACTTGCACTGTATCTTCTGTAAATTTGTGCACTATGATTTGTATTCCTATTTTTTCTCACACAGTGTTCTGTGGAGTGTTCTGCTGTATGTCTTTAATTTTGTCCTGGACTTCATGTTTGGCACTGGACCACAATTCTGGCATATACCGGCAATTATGTGAGTTCTGCCACTGGTTCTGGTTCTGAAGATAAACCACGACATAAACAAACTGTCACACAGAACGAAAGGGAAAATTATCAAGTTTGTGAGAAGAGATGGAACTTGTGGGTTGACCACAGCAAGCCGCTGAGACCTTCTCTCAGAACTGGAGTAAATTCTGAAGAGGAAACTGTCCAGATGGGGGATACTCATAATCAGGTGCTCTGACAACAGATAGTGAATGATCAAGGCCTCTCCTCCCCAGCGTATTTCAGGAACCCCCCTCCCATTCTCATTCTTATTAAGAACCCTACATGACCTCTCTTACATTGTGGTTCTCTTGCTAGCCACTGCAGACTTTTGATAGGTAAAACTGCGTTGGGGGAGACAAATCGGTGGGACAATAGCCTGCCTGTTACCCCGCCTACTCTTTCCTGTCATGTGAGGATACTTAATGCACTTCGCGGCTTGCCATGTTTGGTAAGTGCTGCGAGTTATCTACCGGAAGACATACTGCTGCCCTGAATGCCGTAAGTACCACACACAGAAATTCAGCTTGAGACTGGCAGCTATTTCCTCAGTTTTGGTGATTTTGATTAGCAAGTACTTTGTTTTTGTGCAATAACAGTGTATGCTAACATGATGTTGCAGGTTAGGACTGTCCTACATTTGCAGTATTTGCCTCATGAAATGAAAATGACTTATTTTTGGAAAGCAAGATGGTTTCAATGTTTATGTGGGACTGATTCCTACTGAAAGAAGGTCTGAGACAGACTTTTGCCAGACTCAATGCCCCCAATAAAAAGGCTTCTCTCTAAGACAGGGGTGGGCAATCTTACCCAGAAAGAACCGTTGTGTGTGCCAGTTTTTGCTGAAACTTTTTCATTAGATAACTAATTAGAAGACTGATTGTCTGAAGAATCTTTATACCTGGATTTGAACAGCTGACCTAAAAGTCATCCCAAAAACCAGCATACACACTGACCTTGTGTGAACAAGACTGCCTATCCTTGCTCTAAGAGTTTAAATACTTCAGTATTTTTCACGCAGGATTTCTGTCCTTAATTCCTACGTGTGCTTGTATGCTCTGGGGTTCGTTAGCTTTATATTATATTATATGAGGTTGCAAACATGACATGATTACAGGGGTGGTTCTGGGTGTTGAACAATATCATTGAATAAGGATACATGATAACATATTTATGGGAGTGGCTGCTTGTTATGGTCACCTCAGGAGACACCCTGAGGTAACCTATGAGACCTGCGTGTTACTGTAAGTTATTGAATAAATTGTGAGTCTCTTTATATTAAAATATATCTGCTTTTCTGTTGGAAATTAGTTTTGTTCAAAACCCCAGTTTGGTCTCATCTTCAGTGTTCCAAAAGGGGAAGTGTTGCAAGACTTTTGACAAGACAACACAATGTAAAAGTTTCAAAATGAGGAAGACCCACAAATTAGCAAAAAGGCTGATGTCTGGATGACCATTTAAGGTGACATCTATCATGAGGTCCATCTTCTGATGGTTGGTCAGAGATTCTTACACCTAGAGGAACATCACTGTTTCCTGAGATATGTATAAACACATGGCATCTACCCCAGCAGCAATGTCAACATAGGTGTGCTGAGCATCAGGGAGCTAAAAGCCAGCCAGATGATGCAGTGCTCACTTTCAGTTTTCTTATTTTCTTTCAAAAGGCTCTGCCTTTTGCCAGGCCACAGTTGCAAATAAGCAACCCGTTCTTAATCTGTCTTGCCTGGTTAAATAAAGGTAAACAAAAAATAAAAATAAAATAAAAGAGAACATCCGGCTTCTCAGGTTTCCAACTGATGCTTCTAAAACAGTAGCCCCCAGCTTCAAACTGTGCTGTGTGTTGCAGCTGAGATGCGGCAATTTCATGGGCCTGCATGCTGCCTTTGAAGTGGTCGGCTCACTCATGTGCTCGTGTTGTCCAATCACATAGCATCACAGTGTGAATTTCCACTGAAATACTTTCATATAATTTGTCCAAACCAATCCTGCCGCTCAGGAAAGGATGGGCTAAACTGTATCATAATACTTCACTGGCATGAAGAAATTAGGGTTACCGGCTGTGGTGTTTTCTAAGGATCTGATGTTGCCATGCTTTGGGTATTTTGGGAAGATTTTGGGATTAATGGCGACATTCTCTTTCCTTTTAACAGGAAATGGGGACGGGGGTCATGTTGACTGTTGTCTTTTTGCTACTGACCGTTAGAAATGGTAAGTACAGTCAGGGGTGGGTTTTCTGTTGTTTCACAAAGAACCCATGTACATTCCCCCTTCTGCCCCCAGCAGTGTAGTGACTGCTTTTGGTCAACAAAACACTGCCACTAGGTGCAGTATGAGTCTTATTCCAATACTCAGAGCTGCCTTGAATTTGGAATATAGAATATGCTTAAGAACCCCACACAGACACACACAGTCACATAACAGTGTTGTGTGTGTCTTCTCACCCCCAGCCCAGTCCCAGGAAAGCTGTGTGAAGACTGTCGTCAGGTCGTGTGCAGAATGTATCAAGTCTGGACCCTACTGTGCCTGGTGCAAGCTGCTGGTAAAGAGCACCTTCATCTGGCCACATTGCATCTCCTGCACATACCGACCCGCGGCTCCTCATACCAATGCCAGAACCTGATCCCGTTAAGCTGGCCTGAATTCAGGGAGCTTAGGGGCAGAAAACCAAAACTTCTTGGGTAACAAAATACAAAATGAGTGCATTTTTATACATGCCATCTTGGAAAAAGGAAGTAAACCAGCTGGAAAGGT